ATATGTATTTATATATAAACATATCTGTAAAACTTATTTTTATATACAATTTATTATTGGTATGCTTCTATTTCAATTCAAAATATTGTCTTGTCAGGGTAAAAAAATGCAATTAAACCGTAAGAATACTCACATGCAGGCGCAGGCAAACTTGCTGACTCAAAAGCACAAGATCACTGACACAAACAGACAAGTTTACTGGTACACTCACACAATTAGTACAGACAAACACACACACACACGCTTACTATAGACAAATGCTTAGGTATACACACAGAAGCTTACTACAAACAAGTTCAATAGTATCCACACAGAAGCTTACTACAAACAAGCTCACGGTGACACGCAGATGCTCACTACAGATAAACTCACTGACAAGCTCAATTACACCCACATGTTCACTACAAGCTCACTGACACACACACAAGCTCACTACAGAAAAGCTCACTGACATATACATGCTTCCTACAGACAAGCTCACTCACACACACACATGCTCACTACAGACAAGCTTGCTGACACACACGCATACAAGCTCACTCACTGGCAGACACTCTCACTCATGGGCTGCTGAGCATTTGAAGCCTACCTGGCACTGAAGAACATGGGAGCATTGGGAGGTGAACTTGCCATGTTACTGCCTCTGGCAGTGGGGGTGGGGCTTGAGTGCAGGGGTGGAGCTATAGACAAGCTCACTGACACACATTTATGCTCACTACAAGATCACACATTGTCACTACAGACAAGCTCAGTGATACACACAAGCTTATTACAGACAAGCTCACTGACACATATATGCTCACTACAGATAAGCTCAATGTCACACACAAGTTCACTATAGACAAGCTCATTGTCACACACATACAAGCTCACTCAGTAGCAGACATATACACACAAAGATCACTATCTGTTATGGGCTGCTGAGAATTTGAAGTGCAGAGTAGAGCATGAGTGTGAGATGGAGCTTGAGTGCATGGATGGAGCTTGAGTGCAGGGGTGGAGGTGTATAGACTCAGAAAAGCTGGAAATTGTGAAGGGAGAACTTACAGTACTCCCTTTCAGCCACCGGCATCCTTAATGCAGCAGCACTAGCCTACAGCACCTCCCTCCTCAATTCCCTTGGATTGTGACAGTCCGAAGGAAAAATAATAATTTAAATGGCAATAAATTTAAAGGGTATCCCAGTGGACGAGTCAGGACCTGCCCAGCAAGTCCAATGGCACATTAGGGACAAGATGTAAACTGGAGCAAAAGGATGGTGTTAAATGAGAGTTCAGGGCTGGCTATATCAAATTTGTGCAATGTTTGCATTGACATGCAACTTTTTTAGGTGCTGTGAGAAGACAAGCAAGTGAATGCTTCCTGTGATGATTGTGACTGTCTCACAGGCACAAATCTTGATAATTCCTCGAAGGCTGGCTGCTCCATGCCTAACTTTGCCTTGAAGCTAACCACCGGAGTGTGTCCTAACCGGCCAAGTGGAAAGTACCACATAAGAGCAAAGAGCACACCATCGCTGACCTGCAAAGGGAGGTGAGGGACATGCAGCAATGGAACCAGGCCTTTGAACACAGGCTAGATGCCCAGGAAGACAGGCGAAGGCAGAAACACCTGAAAATCAGGGAAATCCCAGAGAATATAGCTGCGGCTGAGCTCCCACACCTCACCTGTCGCCTCATAGCAGCCCTACTGACGCCGAAACAAGCAAAGGCAGTATCGTTACAAGGAGTCTTCCGACTTCCAAAGCCTACCAAGGCACCACAGGCAATATCAGGGGACCTGGTGATGCAGTTCCAGATCCTTCAGGACAAGGCAGCGGTAATGACCGCCATCAGAGGGCACTCGCCCTACAACTTTGAGGGGATGTCACTGGCCTTTTACGTGGACCTCTCCAGAAGGACCCTGGCATGGCGGCGAACACTGTGCAAGTTCACTCAACTTCTGCAAGAAAAAAATGTTACCTACCGCTGGAGCCAAGCCCACTTGCTGCACATCGCACAAGGGGACTCCCAGCGGCCACCCGGGACTTTGTGCCTAGACGCACCACTCTGACCCCACAATTCGGGACTATTTCTTAATTGAGCACACTTTGCTGTTTCCAGAGACATAGAAGCACAATCCCCACACAACCCACTCCATAGGTAGCCCAAATCGGGACACATACCGCTCAAACAATCCCCCGATGGCTGACCTCACGACGCTATAAACACCCCCCCCCCCGAATGCCACAGGGTAGTTTAGGCTTGCTAAATTCCCCCTACCACCCGTGCAGCGGGTTTGTCCCTATTAGCAAAATATAAGGAGCAGCCCTGCCACTTTAGTTCCCGCTCACCCCCACAGATTAGTTCACACCCACGATCCTGCAGTAGACACCGCGAACATCACACTAGGTACGCCAGACCTACAGAAGCCTACATGGGGGCACAAGAAAACCCTTGTGATCACTTGAGGTTTACCCGCACTGGGGTATCACACACACCCGGGCACACCGAACCACTTGACGAACAGAATGCTCCACAGGGAACCAGCAAGACACTCCAGTACGAGCAATGGTAGTACCATGCCACTCAGGGAGGGGGCCCGAGTTCCCATGCTGCCTAGGACTGGGGGGGAGACACCCACTCATTGATGAGCCTAGACCGACCAACACATACTTCTACACCACCAGTTAGACCACACGTTTAGTTAGCGTTTACTCCTAGCAATCCACTGTTTACACCACTTTCAAAAAACAAAAATGTGCACTGTTACACATGCCTAACTATTATTGATCTATGTTAACCATTTGCTGGCAACAGCTGTTGGGGCATTGCCAGCTCGTTTGTAACGTTTATTCTATGCACCAAAAAAAAAAGAATTAAAAAAAAAAGAAGCTTTTCAAGTCCAGCAGTGTCAGTCCACCTGCCAAGTCCAGATAATATGTCTAAATTTTTAAGTATAGCGGGCCACTTCTTCTAGTGTTAGTTCCTTGATAGAGTGCCTAATAGTGTTGAGTGCAGCAAATTTGGGGGCTGTAGGGTGTGTTTTATGTTGTTGTTCCAGTCTCCTCGAGCTTGACTGGAGCACTAATAGAAGTTTGGTTTTATGTTGTTTCTTTTGAGTGGCTAATTTTATAAAGTTAACCCGTATTACTGTCTTGTGGGCTGCCCAAAGTGAGGTGGGATTCATGCCAGGTGTGGAGTTTTGCGTAAAATACATTGAGATAGCCTCTTTGGTAGAGGTCTGTATGCCCTCATTTTTTAGGAGGCTGGAGTTTAACCTCCAGGTCCAGTTGGAGCTATATTGCATCTTACCTAGGGTGATAGCTATGTCAGTGTGTTTGAGTAAAACATGTAGTTGTGTGTGTCAATGGGAAATTGTTTTATCAAGAATTTTACCTTTTTAATATTGTTAGATTTCTCTCCCCTGTACCATCTCTCCTTCTCTCTATGTGTGATGAAACAATAATCCTGGACCCTTAAGGCCCGTTTTTCTTACCATGGAAGGCATGTTTTCAGCTGACCCCCACTTTGTAAAACCTTGATGCCCTCTATCGATACCAAAGGGTTAAGCAGCCAGCACCAAAAAAGAATGAGTCAATGCTATGTTGCTGTAGCCATGACAGTAATTACACCCTGTTCCAAATTATTATGCAAATGATATTTTTCTCATTTACCTAGATAATTGATGTAAATAACAGTTAGCATAATTCCCATGTTATCAAGTATTAAGAGTACAATTCAAATTTTATTGAACAAACCTCCTAATGATAACAGTATTTTTTTTTAAACATAACACAGTAAGCAGACACAGTAAGTTTCAAAACACTTTGTAGGTTGTAAAGAACTGAAAATTGTCATTTGTTGTGTTTGCAGCATATTTACTGAAATCAAAAGCTATTTCAATAGCTATTTCAATCAAACTTATAACAACATTTTAACTTTTTAAACATTTTAACAGGTCACGTTACATTTTAACATAGAACCCCTTATTTAATAGCAGCTTCACAAGTCTTGCATCCATTGAACTTGTGAGTTTTTGGACAGTTTCTGCTTGAATTTGTTTGCAAGCTGTCAGAATAGCCTCCCAGAGCTGCTGTTTGGATGTAAACTGCCTAACACCCTCATACTGTGTTTCTCCGAAAATAAGACCGGGTCTTATATTAATTTTAGTCACAAAAAACACACTAGGGCTTATTTTCAGGGTAGGGCTTATTTATTTACGTTACCAGTATGTACAGCTCTTTCTCTTTGCACTCATCTTGTCTGGGGATCAAAATACCATACTGTCTAATTAATCCACCCCCCCTTTAATAAATCCACCCCCTCTAATTAATCCACCCCCTTTAATTAATCCACCCCCTCTAATTAATCCAGCCCACCCTTTCATTAATCCAGCCCACCCTTTAATTAATCCACCCCCTTTAATTAATCCACCCCTCTTTAATAAATCTACCCCCTTTAATAAATCCACCCCCTTTAATAAATCCACCCCCCTTTAATTAATCCACCCCCCTTAATTCAACCCCCTTTAATTAATCCACCCCCCTTTAATCCACCCCCTCTAATTAATCCACCCCTTTAATTAATTCACCCCCTCTAATTAATCCAGCCCACCCTTTAATTAATTCACCACCCATTTAATTAATTCACCAACCCTTTAATTAATTCACCCCCTCTAATTAATACAGCCCACCCTTTAATTAATTCACCCCCTTTAATTAATTCACCCCCCTCTAATTAATCCAGCCCACCCTTTAATTAATTCACCACCCCTTTAATTAATTCACCCCCTCTAATTAATCCAGTCCACCATTTAATTAATTCACCCCCCTTTAATTAATTCACCACCCTCTAATTAATCCAGCCCACCCTTTAATTAATTCACCACCCCTTTAATTAATTCACCCCCTTTAATGAATTCACCCCCCTCTAATTAATCCAGCCCACCCTTTAATTAATTCACCACCCCTTTAATTAATTCACCCCCCTCTAATTAATCCAGTCCACCCTTTAATTAATTCACCACCCCTTTAATTAATTCACCCCCTCTAATTAATCCAGCCCACCCTTTAATTAATTCACCACCCCTTTAATTAATTCACCCCCTCTAATTAATCCAGCCCACCCTTTAATTAATTCACCACCCCTTTAATTAATTCACCCCCTCTAATTAATCCAGCCCACCCTTTAATTAATTCACCCCCCCTTTAATGAATTCCCCCCCGCCCACTTTAATTAATTTAGTCCCAGACATAAAATATCTACCGGTACTCACATTTCAAAGATTCCTTGCCGAGTCCGACCACTGGGTGCCTCACCGCCCGGAAATGGATCCTTCGCTGAAGATCCGTGAAGGCAGACTGACGGCACTGCGAAATGTCGTCATCACGTTGCGCAATGCCACGGCCCGCAACGCTCCTCCTACAGTAGAAGAAGGAAGTCTCGCCACAAAGGTGCAATGCCTAGGTCTTATTTTCGGGGTAGGGCTTATATTGCAGCCCACCCCGAAAATCCGACTAGGGCTTATTTTCGGGGTAGGGTTTATTTTCGGGGAAACAGGGTAGATCTTTTGCTTGAGGATGCTCCAAAGGTTCTCAATAGGATTGAGGTCAGGGGAGGATGGAGGCCACACCATGACTTTCTCTCCTTTTATCCCCATAGCAGCCATTGATGCAGAGGTATTCTTTGCAGCATGAGATGGTGCATTGTCATGCATGAAGATGATTTTATTACAGAAAGCATAGTTCTTACTTCTGTACCAGGGAAGAAAGTGGTCAGTCAGAAACTCCACATACTTTGCAGAGGTCATCTTTACACCTTCGGCAGGGGTGGGCTGGGCCGGGGGGCAGGGAGGCAATTGCCCCCCAGGCTGCCATAAATTCTTTTAAGACCGGCCGCTGCAGGGCAGACCCTTTTAATGCTGCAGCAGCCTGAGCGCTCTGCTAAGAGCCTCAGGCGGCTGCAGTTGCTTCTCTCCTCCTCTCCCCTCCCCTGTAGCGTGCATGCCGGCCGAGTGATAGGAAGCACACTGAGTGTGCATTCCTGTCAGTCCGGCCGGGTACAGTGAAACACCTGTTCCGCTGAGGTTTCCTGTACCGGCCGGATGATAGGAAGTGCACACTGAGTGTGCACCTTCCTATCACTCTGGTCGGGCACCGCGGACCTGAGAGGAGCTCGGCCACACTACAGGGGAGGGAGGGGTAAGAGGAAGGAGGGGGGGATAAGAAGAGGGGAAGTAAGGGAGGAGGGAGGGAAGAAGAGGAGAGGGGTAAGAAGAGGGGAGGGAGTAAGAAGAGAGAGGGGGAGCAAGAAGAGGGGAGGGGGAGCAAGAAGAGGGGGAGGGGGGAGTAATTAGAGGGGGAGTAAGAAGAGAGATAAGAAAAAGAGGGGGATAAGAAGAAGAAGGGTGGAGTAAGAAGAATAGTGGGGAATAAGAAGAAGGGGGGTAAGAAGAAGAGTGGGGGTAAGAAGAAGAAGTGGAGTAAGAAGAAGAAGGGGGAGTAATTAGAAGAGGGGGTAAGAAGAAGAAGGCACACACACATGCAAACACACACACTGCTTTTCTTACATACACACAGAAACACACTCAATTCACACACATACAGACACACACCTTGCATCCCTTATGCATGCAAACACAGATTCACACAATGCATCCCTTACACACAACCAGAAACACATAATACATCCCTTATACACAAATACACACTGCTTCCACTACACACAAACACACTGCATCACCTACACAAACTGGTATCCCTATACACTACATACCATAAGCACACATATTAGATCCTCTACAATAACACATAACACATCCCCTACACACTCCACTCCCTATGAGCGAACTCATGGGTGGGTGGAACATATAAGTGGACTTATGAGTGGGCCTTATGGCCATACTCACCGTCAGGCCCTGGGGCCCAGACCTTGAGCTGTGTAAGGGGCAAAAAAAATGGAGCTGCTTCCAATTCTCCCAGAACATTGAATTTTGTGACCACAGTTGCAAACAGACTCCAGATATCCTGTTCTACACCAGACCAGTGGAGCCAAATTGCAGCCCATCATCATCCTCATCTGGTTGTAAGTAGGCAATCTAGTATATTATTTATGACACTAATCCATAATTTACCTCACATTAAAGGGACACTATAGCTTAATGAAGTGGTTCTGGTGTCTTTTTAATGTAAACACACACTGTGTGCAGCACTGGCGTTAGTTCATATGGCAGATCAGAGTGCCCTCTGCCCCTAATTTACAGTGGCTCACACTCACAACAAGCAGTGCCTGGAGCCCTTTGCAGAGACGGGAACAAAGAGGTTCTGCTGCAGCTGGCCTTCCTGCAAGCATTACATTAAACAGCTGTTCCCTATGCAGCCACAGGTGGCACTGTGCTGGGAGAATGTGATTACTCTTCACTTCCTCCCAGCCTACAGAGCAGCGCATGGGAGAGAGAGAGGAGGAGGCATGATTTAATCTTACAACAAATGCACTAAGCAGATCTTTCTAAATTTGGGGGGATCCGCTCTGTTTCCACAGTTTATTGGTGTTTACTGCAAGTTATAGGGCTATAAATACAAGTAGGATATTGCTGTTTCAAAATATACATTTTTAAAATTTATCAATAGTGACATTGTAACACTGTTATCTGTCATAAATCTCTGAAAAACACCCCACATGTACATATTTTTTTTTTAAAGTAGACAACCCAGGGTATTCATCTAAGGATATTTTGACACTTACTATACAGCCATTTTACCACAATCTTTGCCAAACTTCGAATAGGTAGTTTATTTTTTTCACATACATTGCAATTCAGGTATAAATTCACAGATCATGTAATGTGTTGCTGCCAAAAAACACACTAATATGTGTTCAGCAACATCTCCTGAGTACAGTGATACCACCCATGCATAGTCTTGTCAGGTTGTAAGGGGCTAAAAAGACACATTTGGCAGGTGCGCACATCCGTTTTCCAACTTGGAATCTTGACATGTAGTCAATCTGCACCCATGTCCTATTTGGGACATTTTTTAAGCCAGCCAATGTATTTTACCCCCATCAAACCATATATTTCCGAAAAGCAGACAACCCAGGGTATCTTAAATGGTGGTATTTTAACACTTTTCATGCATAGAATTTACCACCAGCCTTTGTCAAACATTTGGGTAGTAATTTTGTGTGTGTTTTTTTCATACACATTGTACTTTAGGCATGAATTAACAGATCCTGTTATGTATCACTGCCAAACAACACCCCAATATGTGTTCAGCAACATCTCATGAGTACAGTGATACCACCCATGCATAGGATTGCTGGGTTGTTTGGGGGCTCAAAGGCCACGATAAAGACTTTTGTATGTCAGTTTTTCAACTTGATATGTAGGTATGCTTGGCCTATCTTCAGTTTGCATCCCCCAGTTACTGTTACCATCATGAAAGTATATATTTTTATCAAGTAGACATTCCAGGGTATTGTATATGGGGTGTTTTAACATTCTTCCCACAACCATTGTGCTAAAACATTTTTCAGAGAACTTGCATGGTGATAATTTTTTAATTCTGCTTTTTGATTATAGCCAGTAGGTTATATGAAGATTGCCAGAAACCACCCCAGTGTTTTGTCTGCAAAGTCCCCTGAGTACACCTGTGCCCCCCATGCATTGGTTTGCCATGATTTTACAATAACAAATTTTGGACTTGCCCATTTTGGCTGAATATAGTTTGCTTGCTTTGCTAGGCACATGTTGAGTGTGGTGCATTTTTCCATCCCCTAAGTTGAATTTATGGCTTGAAAGTATATATTTGTATAAAGTACACATTCAAGGTTTTGACTTCTTTTCCCCAACCATTTCCCCCCCAAAATATTTAGAGAAAGTGTGTGGTGGTAATGTTTGAAATCTGTTTTTTATACACACATTGCTTTTAGATTTCTGCCAGAAAACTTTAACCTTTTTAACCAAATGTGCAGGTATCAAATGCACCTTTAGCAGCAATTTCTAAACTAACTCCTGCAAAAAGAATCTAACTGGAGACTTGGGGAAAGGAAACTGACTAACTAAAATTTTCCGCTTTTAAAAGAAACAAAAAAAAATTAAAGAACAAGTATTACAAAAAGGTATGTTCTGTGTGGTAGATCTCAAAAAGTTCCAATACACAGTCCAGGTTTTGAAGGGCAATCGGGACAGTGAAAAGGGGAATCTGTCCTTTTCCCTTTCTTATAACAGACCTGGCAACATTTCTGGGGATTTGTTTTATTTGCCGTTGGCGATATATTAAAAATAAAATGCGTAGCACCAATTCTGGATTCCTTTGGTACAGTTGTTGGAACTTCAACTGAACCATCTCCATAAATTATTGTGGAAATCCCTTTAAGTTGACATTGGAGAAGGGTGGTTTTTCCAGGATTCATTTTTTTAAAAATTAAAAACTAATTGTGGGTTGCTACTTGCATCAAATAGATAGCCACCTTTTTATACCAGGCTTTAGTTTTTCTTAAAATAAGATATGGCTGCATCAGCTGATCAGCCAAATCTACAACCCCCATGTGCCTATTATAAACCCTGATGCAAATAGGTTTGGAATGTACTCTGCCTCGGACAGTGACGTCTGACATGCTTTCGTCATGGATGGTGGTTAGCATGTTAACATCCTTCCTGTCCTTAAATTTTATTGCAAGCACTTTAGCTTTGCGCAGAGCTTAACATTCACCTTTTTTAAATTTGGCCTTTATGAGAGAGATTTCGATCTCCATATGCCATGTGGTTGAAGTGTGTGGTGCGTTTAGCTGTATTGTTCCTTAGGTGGTCTTAATCCCTTGATGTGTGGGTGGGGAGCGTGTAGCTCTAGACATAGACAGGGTTTCCTGTTTGAGTAGGCCTGAGTCCCAAAGCTTCCAAGCTTCCCTCCAGAACGGTTTGAGGGGTCTAGTTTGTCTAGCCATAATTTCATATGTCTTGGTGGTTTGGATTATCTGGATGCAAGAAGTTATGTCAGGAGGAGCTTCAGAGAGCCAAGCTCTACTGATGGTAGATAGAGCTGCTACTAATACGTGGTAAGTTAAGTATTGTGCGGCTTTTGTCATGTCCATTGGAAGGAGTTGGAGAAGATATATCTCCGGGCTTAATGGGATTGTTACCGTCGTTGAGTCTTTAATTAGTAGCCCCACTAATTCCCAAAACCTTGAGATTTTGTGGCACGTCCACCATATGTGGTACATAGTTCCGGAGGCCATTTTACACCTCCAGCATAAGTCTGACTTGTTTGGGTCTATGTGTTTGAGTTTTGCAGGTACCATATACCAACGGTAGAGGACCTTTCTGGTTAGTTCAATGTGTGCATTGCATAGGGTGAGCGTCTTGTTTGCTAAGTAAATTTTTGTCCACTGGTTTTGGTCCAGTGTCTTTTGGAAGTCTGCCTCCCATGCTTTGACAAAGGAGGGTTTCCCAGTGGGCAGTTGTCTTGTGAGGAGTGCATATATTGTAGAAATGACTTTGGTGGGGGTTTTTTGTTGGATACAAAGGTCTGTAAGATGTAGTGTATGTAGGTGTGTTGTTTTGCCT